TTAGTGATGTTAGAATGCAGGAAACATGCTATTAGGGAAGCTCTCTCCGCTGCTTTATATACAAGCCTCTAGACTGTAAAAGTGATAAAGTTTCTTCTGCTTTGGTTGGGTCTTTGAAAAGCAAAGTGAGAATGGTCTGAGATCACTCACTGCCAGTATTTCATATGGTAGTCCTTTGTTCAACTGAGGTTTGTAATTACAAAATAACTAGCTTTGGGAGGCAATAATATACCGTAGCCATGAATACACTTAGAAGATAGGCTAAGAAAGCATAAGAGACTGTTGAGAACTGAGAACAAACTAAGGGTTGATGGGGGGTGGGAGGGAGGAGAGGTGAGAGATTTTCAGGCATTGTTCAGGCACCAAGTTTCTGACGTTCCATCACACATGGCAGATGGCTTCACAGCTCATACCAGACACATGAGCAGGGTGTCTGCACTTACAGGATCAGATCAACAAGACTTGGAGCAGCAGGACTACTAGAAAAGCCCCTCTAAACATATCTAACTTCAGTCAGGACAAGGGTTTCCCTTCCTCTATTCAGGTTTCCTGGATGGGTCCTCATTTACTTGGGGATGCCACCTGTGATTAGAGAACAAGCTCAGTCCTGACTAGGATTGTAAAGCAGTTTGACGTATTCCTTCCGTGGGCACCAGTGACGACCTTTCACGTGGATGTCAAAGCACAGGAGCCAAACATGTGGTCAACACTGAAAGAATACAATGGGTCAGGCAGCGGTTAAGTGCTGGTGATGCCAAGATGAGCAAAACACTAAGCAGCCAACCCAGGGAAGGTCTCGGCAGAAGTCAAGTGCTGCAGCATTTGTGGGTACAAAATGTTATGGGAGCACACAGAGGAGGCAGTGACTAATTCCGCCTGAGGACAGTCACCAGGCTGTGTGGCTGTGTGGGGTGATGGAAGAGTTGTGGGAGGTAAAACTAGAAACAGCCAGATTAGGGTCCCCCAGTCCACTGGTCATTAGTCACACTTTCCTTGGGCAAGTGCATCCACTTCCAAGGCTTCAACAGCTACCCCCACCATCAACAACTTCCATACCTGAAAGCTCAGTCCCATCCCTCTGGATTTCAGGCACATGTCCTAATCTACCCCAGAACATCTATCTCTGTATGCCTCAGAGGGACCTGATAACTAAACATATCACTCTTACCTCCCCAGACTTCCTCTTCCTTTATTCCCATCTTCAGTTTCCAGTCAGTGTCCAAACTAAAAGCCTCACTGTCATCTTCTATACTAGAAGTGGCCACCTAGTCCTGTCAATCTCACTTCTAAGAATCTCTCTCAAATGACTCCATTCTTCTCCGTCCTTCCATTCCCTCTGTCCAGGCCGGCATCTTCCCACACTCCCACTACTACAACAGCAGCCACAAAACCAGTCTAGCTACAAATTCTGTTCCTGCTCATTCACTCAGAGCAATGATACAAGACACTATGGGTACTGCAGCAAACAAGACATATAAAGAAAGTGCCTGTTTTATGGACCTTCCTATTTGTTCATTCTGGCCAATTTCTGTTTTAAAATTAATCTGGTTGTGACATATACTGGCCTCAAATCTTCAGCACCCTCCCCCGCATGGTCCCTCTACTAGCATGGTCCACAAGGTTGTTCAACATCTGGCAAGTCTACCCTTCCACCCTCTTGTTCTGCCACACAGGTACATCCCTGTTATTAAAACTGCATGTTTCTTCAGGCTTTGCCTTGGCAAGTGTTACCTCCTGTACCTGGAACATTCCTTTCTCATCTCCCCCTTGGGAATTCCTACCCCAGAGATTCTGAGTTTCCATGCCCAAGCAAGCATGGCACTCATCACATGGTACAGGAATGATGTTTAGAAGTCTGCTCCTCCCACCTGGCTATGAGCTTCTTAAAGGACAGGAATTGTATCACATGTGAGTCTACCCTCATAGCACATATTCGGTAAGTCTCGGTTCAAGAGAAACCAAGGCAGAAGCATATCCATCTACAAAGGTTAAGACACAAAGGTCAGGAAAATTGGTCAGGAAAATCAAACTTCACCTAATGGCCTGTCCAAGTACTTCTTTTGTGAAGTACTTTGGTACCTCTGTGGGCTCTGAGAACAGAGCTTCCCTAAGAGGCATGTTTCCCAAAGGCAGAACATCTTGAACACCATCAGGACCCTCCCTTCTCAATCTTTTTGATGTTTCTGATTTGGCTGCAGAAACACACACAGATGTGGTGACTGATCTCACTTTAAACCCATGACCACTAAGTCCAAGTGGGTCCTTAATGCTGCCTAGCAACTCTCTACATTTCTCTTGCTCGCTCACTAGACTAATTCATGTCTTTCCTCTCTCCTCACACCCACTCTGCTTAGCTGACCCTTCTTCCCGGTTCACTGAGGAAACAACCAAAAGACCTTCCCCAAGTTCCCACCACACCTACTTGAGTCAGTACTCACTTATGTTGCCACGCACACCGTTCCTAGGGATAAACTCTGCTCCTAGCTTAGGCCAACCTCTCTCCACTTCGGCAAGAGATTCCACTCCTTGCTTACTAAAATCACTCCGGTAATTATATCCTGTCTCCTGCTTCACGAATTTTTTTGCCCTCTCTACTAGACCATTTCCACCAGCTTAAAAATATGATCCAATACCTCTTACAAAAAGAAAAAACTGGAAACAACCCCCTCAAACCTTCTTCCCATTTCAGCTACCACCCCATGTCTCCCCTTTCTAGGAAAACTTGTAGTTGTCTGAATCCATTGTCACCTCCCATTCTCCTTGAACCTATGCCAATCAGACTTTCACCCCCACTGCCCCTAAAAACCGTTCTTCTCAAGTTCACCAAAAAGCTCCATTACCTAAACAGCATTACACAGTTGAACATTCCCACTCCCCAACCACCTTCTTCACTTTGCTTCCAAGATATCATTCTCTTCTGGTTTTTCTCCTACCTCAGTGGTCATTCCTTCTCAGTTTCTTTTGCCTGATTCCTTCTTCCATCTAACTGCCCCATGGCTTAGTCCTCTCCATCAACACAACAAGGTCTCCTGGCTTCAAATACCATCTACATTTATACCTCCAGTCCAGGGAGACTCTGAACTCCAGACGTATATATCAAACTGCCTCTTCAACACCTCCACTCAGATATCTACCAAGCATACAAAAACCTAACACGACTAAAGGTAAAATCTTGAAACCATCCTCTGTGCTCAGTCTGTTCTTCTCATTCTTCTCCCATTTATGAAAATTTGGAACTCCCGTTTTTCGAGTTGCTCAGGCCAAAATGATTGGAGTGATCACGGACCTCTCTTTACCTCATACTCCATCCACATCTGCTACTAAATCCAGTTTGCCCTGCCTTAAAATGTAACTGGAATCCAACTGCTTCTTACCACCTCCACGGTCACCACCCTGCTCGAACTCACTGCAACTCACCATTGCAATAACCACCTGACCCCTACTTTCAACATATCAGCTAAAGTCACCTTCTTATAATTTAAGTCAAATCATGTCACATGACAGAGCAAATCTTTTCCAGTGGCAAGCAGAAGTCCAACACGGACTACAAGGCCTATGCAATCCAGCCACCCCTTACCTTTGGACCTCATCTCCTCCCATTCTCCCCCTTGCTTACTCCACTCCAGCCACAACAGCTTTCTTCTTGTTCCCTGAACACGCTATCCACCTTAGGGCCTTTGCACTTGGTCTTCCCTCTGCCTGGAAGAGTCTCCCAGTTATCCACATGGTTTCATCGCTTTCTTCTGGTTGTTGCTTCAATGTCACCTTCTCAGTGAGGCGTGTCTTGACGAACCTATTTAAAACTGCAACCTCCCTCAATCTCTCACCCCTGAATTTTCTCCCATCACATTCATTACTATCTAATATATTGTTTACTTAATTCATACTGTTTATTATTTACCTCTACTAGAGTTCCGTGAGAGCAGAGATTTTTATTTGTTCTGTTCAGTGCTATATCCTCAGGGTTATGAACAGGGTTAGCATATGGAAGTTGCTCAAAGGGTTATTTGTCAAATGAATAAAATGAGAAATTCTCAGTTGGCTTCTAGGCTGTCTTCAATTTTCAACACTTATTCAGCACCTCAGCAGGTAAAAGCATCAAGTCAGAACTTACTAACGTTAAACTGAAGCAGGGGCGCCTGAGTGGCTCAGTCAGTTAAGCGCCCGACTTCGGCTCAGGCCATGATCTCACAGTTTGTGCATTCGAGCCCCGCGTCAGGCTCTGTGCTGACAGCTCAGAGCCTGGAGCCTGCGTCGGATTCTATGTCTCCCTCTCTCTCTGTCCCTCCCCTGCTCATGCTCTCTCTCAATAATAAATAAACATTAAAAAAAAAAAAAAAAACCCGAAGTGTTATGCTTTCATTTGGTTTTTTTGGTTCCTTTTTATCTAACATACCGGGTCTCTACTCTTGTAACAGTTACTTTTAAAACATGTCTTAAGTTTAAAAAGTGAGTTTCTTCTAAGAAAAATGTTAAATTATATGGGACTAGAAGAGAGACATGGCAAAATTACTGTAAGTGGTATCTGAATGACTGAACTTTAAGAACTCTCAGGGTAGGGCTACCAGATAAAATACAGGACGCCAGTAAATTTTAATTGTAGATAGATAATAATTTTTTCTAATGCATGTCCCAAATATTGCATAGGACACACACACACACTAAAATCTGAAATCCTATTTTAAATGGCACTTCACCCCCCGCCCCCCAAATCCGACATCCCTATTTTAGGAGAACAAAAGAAATTACACCCTGCTCCTTGTCGCATTCATTGCGATCAGAACAAGCTGGCGGAACTCCTGGCTATCTACGGACTTCGTGACTGTGGGAGAGTACTAAGGCCTGACATCCTAAAAATCAAAGAGGCCTCTTTGGGAAGAGAAAGGCCCCGTCACATCAGATCGCGGGGGCAGGGTGGTCTTGGCCCAGCTCCCTTTCCCAGCCTTTCGGCCACCAGCTCGGGGGAGGCAAAGGCTTGGCAGCCACTTTCCGGCCCTTACCAATATTTCCTTCGATGGAGAGCTTTCGAGGCCCGCGCTTCGCGTGCATGCCCCTGGAGGGGGACACGCCACCGATTCGGCTCTGAGCCATGGAACTGGAAGGTGTTCGCAACAGCCTTCGAAGGAGCTGACCCGCGGTCATCCCACCCACGACTCGCGCAATTATCACTTCCGCGGATAGCACTTCCGCCCCCGGCCCCGCTGTGCAAGCGCTCCGGCGCGCCTATGACGTCAGGAGATCGCCGGGCAAGAAGTGGGTGGAGTTCAGCTGGCCGCGCGGGGAGGGGCCGAAGGGAGCCCTGTGTTCTCGCGAAATTTGTAGCAAAGCAACGCTAGGTGGAAAAGACTTCTAGTGCGGGGGTGCGGGAGCGTTAGTAACTGCAGTTGGCCGGGAGGCTCGCCGTCTCGCTGTTTGTCGGAAGAGCAACATTGTGAAAGAGACATACGCTCAACAAGCTCCTCACCTTTGTATTTTTGTGTAACTTTCAAATAAGTCATAACTAAAGACAAAGTAATTGTAATTTTAAACGAGGCTTTTCCAGGTGTTTGCTTTTTATTCTAACTTGGGTAGAAATTGGACTATTTTAAGCAGGAAAATGACGCAATCTGATGATGTACACAAGTTAACTTTTTCCCATTCACGGTGACGCGCAGCACAATGCTGGCACATGACTAAATAAATCAACAAATTAGTTCATTACATCCCACCTCGTATTTTGTCTCTTGAATGAAATAAACGTTCACTCTGTCGATTTGCACAGCAGCCAAAAATCCCATTAGGATAAAGTGGGTGGAGGCTCAGGATGTGAGTGGAACTCGTTTAAACCGTAGATTGGGCTCTGTGGGTGTGAACCACGGCGAGGGTGAGCTGCAGGCCAGCGTGGGGCGGTGGGGAATCTGAGTGGGATTTGTAAAAGGATGAGCAGAGCCAGAGTAGAGAGAGACTTGGCTGGTGTATAAACCTGGAGTCTTGCCGTCGGTGGACACCTGTGCTCTGTGGAGGATCAGGGACAGTTCTGAGCTGCTGCCACCCGGTGAGGCCTTGACTGGCTTTGTCCTGCCACCACCACCCCGTTGTCATAACGACCTCAGAACTAACAAGTTATGAAATGTTGTCAGAGGGTATTTCCACTTTCCATCGTTGAAACCACAAGAGCCAAACCAGGAGTCCAACAGTTAAAACGGCCTTCAGGCAACACCTTAGAGGGGGGAGGTTTTAGGAAATGGGGATCAGATTGCGAGGAGTTGGGGAAGGGTTCGTGGCTGGGACACCTGTCTTGCATAGCAAGCACGGGACCTTTTCTTATACTGATGTTTATATGAGATGATTGAAGTGATGTTCATTTATTAAGCACATTATTTTTAAATATAGATTATAAATTTATTTAGGATAACCTGAATGGAGCACTGATAGATACGGGAACAGCTAAAGTCAGTCCCACCCTCTGCTCCTACTCTCACAGGCACCTCCGTGTCAAATTATTGCTTACATTTCTTTAGCTATGTAAACTCAGACTTGGAAAATATTCATCCAAACAAGTTTGAGAGGCTCTCTGAGCCCCCAAGGTTTCCCTGCCCTCACTGCCATCTGGGATATCGGGAAAGTTAAATGACGATGTTGTCGGCCACTTTAGGTGCAGACAGACAACTAACCTGTTCCTAAAAGTTATAATTTTTTTAGACTTTATAGTAAAGTGTAATAAGTAGTAAAGAAAAGCGCATGCATCATAAGTGTACAGTTTAATGAATTTCTCACAAACTGAAAATGTTCCTTGGATTCAGATAAAGAAATAGAGCATTGCTAGTATCTCCTGAATCCATTTGCCCTGCCAGTTACTACCCACCCCAGGCTATAATCCATAGCCTGACTTCTAAGAGCAGACAATAGTTTTGCCTGTTTTTTAGATAAGTGGAATCATATAGTATTTCTTTTATTCAACCTAATATCTATGAGATTTATCCATGCTATATATGTAGCTGTAGTTCATTCTCATTTCTGTGTAGTATTCCAATATGTCACTATACCACTATGTATTTTCTCCATTCTACTATCGATGGACATTTATGAGTTTCTAGATTTGGGCTATTATGAATAGGGTTGCTATGAATATTCTTGAATATGTCTTTTGGTGAAGTTAAGCATGCAGTCTTCTTGGGTAATACCTGTGAGTGGAATTGCTATGTGATAGGTTATTTGTATGTTCAGCATTAGTAAATATTCCTAAATAGTAGATAGTTTTTATAGTGTTTGTCCCAATCGACTCGTACCATCATGGGTGAGCGCTGTGGTCATCCTATATTCTTTTTTTTTTTTTTTTTTTTTGGTCATCCTATATTCTTAACAACAGTTGGTATTGTCAGCTTTTTCATTTTGTCCAATATGCTGTATATAGTTTTCACCTGCATTCTCCTGATGATTTACGAAGTGCAACACTCTTTCCTATGTTTATTGGCTATATCGGTAACTTCTGTTTTGGAGGACCTAGTCAAGTCCCGTGCCCACTTTTCTATTGGCTATCTGTCTTTTACTTACTGTCCTTTGTTCATTCTGGATATAAACTCCTTTATGAATATTTTCTCTCAATCTGTTCCTTGCTTTTAAAAAGCTTTCAAATTTCCTTGGTGTTCACTATAAGAAAAAAACTAAAATGGCCTAAATTGCCTGTCAGTTGTCCCAATATCAGTGATGACCCCTCTATTCCTCTTTATTTTGTAGTGTTCGTTATTATATTATATCATGGATTCATATCTTTTTTGGTCCTAATTCCAAATTCCCAAGAGAGAGAATCTAATTGGCCCAGCTGTGCCCCAAATGAAGTTCTCATGGAATGAACATGAGTATTTTGCCCCACCCCATGCATAAAGAAGGAAGGCAATTAAAGGGATCATCATGAGCAAGGAAGACACCCAAAAAGGTAGTGATCGGTCCCTCCTAGAAGGAGCAAACAGGGTGTTTCCATCCCCCCTCAGGTGATGGCCAGAACACAAAAAGCAGCAGTGTCTTGGTGAACAGAATTACATCCTACTTGTCTACAGGAATGAGGCCGCTTTACGCTCCTAGAGTTTGTCACATATCTGCTGGGATGTATGAACAAGGGTTGATTACACTACACGGACTCTTGTCATTCAGCATCCATTTCTTCACCCAATTTTTGCCAAGCATCTACTATGTTATCAGGCACTCTTTCTAGTCCTTAGAGTACAGCTCTGAAGGATTTACTGTTTTCAAATGTTTGTAAGTGCTATTGTGACAAATAGATACAGACCCATATTACAAAAATGCTACAACATAGCCACAAAAAATAAGAAGGTAAACATATGCCAATGTGACCCTGACTTTCTTTTGCTGCTTGGATGTCTGGTCAGTTATAGTCTCATCTACATCGAAGATTTTCTAATGTGCTAGATGATGCTAAGTCAGTTTGGTTAAGCCAGGAAGTATGCTTCTAGAATCCTCTCCTGACAGGGCTTTGAGTTAGAGTCGGCCAAAAGAGGCCCAGGTATAAGATTCAGAAGGCAGAGCCTTAGCCATCGTCTGGGGAGATGCCTTTCAGATACTGTGACAGACAGGTGAGTTCACAGAGAGATCCCAGCTTGTCCTCAAAGCCCTAGTGTCTCCTTCCTGATCATCCTACAGTTGTTTCCAGAACTTCACTTCCTCAGCTATTCCCACCTTCAGGTAAAGTCTCATTCCTATAATAAACCCCTTCTTCCTATAATGTGCATGGTGGCTCTGCTCCCTTGAATGCACTCTGACTGATATACCTAATCATAAAGGGAGGCATTTAGGGAGCGGTTAGATAGCCAGGGGTGAGGGTTAAGAAAGATAATCCACAAGCAGCACTTACCTCCCGCCACACAGTTACCACCCAGTACACATTACGTGGTAAGTGATGGCTGCCTTCAGCTTGGCCTTCTGTGTCTGGGACATTATTGCTATATTTATCTTTAGTTGATTTCCTGATGTATTTCATCTCTCCTCAAGCCATGTCACCCACCCATGTCCCCCTCACTATCAGCCCATAGTTTGACTTCCACTGAAGACTTCTAGGACAGCACTTCTTGAAGTGGGGCAAGACTGGGTGGGGAACAACCAGTCAGCTTCCCTGTCTTTCCCCACATGGAGATTCTGATGCACCCCTCTGCAGCAGGGATGGTCAGTGCTCCACATTTCCTCGGACCCTGTGTGTGTGTGTGTGTGTGTGTGTGTGTGTGTGTATGGCTGCCCTCTGACCTCCTCCCCTTGCTCTCTCTCCCAACAGCCAGTGCCGGCAGCTTTTCTTTGCAATACTGCCCTCATACTACTGAAGCCCTTTCCCAGCACAGGTGGAAAGCCTGGGACTTTACCTCCCCTCCTCCCCCCCCCCCCCCAGAGTGCATCTTCACTCATCACTGATAGGCTAGTGTGAAAGCCCACTTGTGTCAGGCTTTCACACCCAGCTGCCTGGGAATCAGGGTGAGGCCACCCTCTGGGGGACTTTGAGAGCTCCCCTGCTGCTCTTCCTCTCCATTTTTGTTCTGCTTCTCTGATTCTGCTCACTGGTTTCCCCTGTGAGCGCTTCCTTAATAAATTGCTTGCCTGTGTAGCCTTACTTCAGAGTCTGCTTCTGGGAAACCTGTCCTAAAACATGAGTCCACTAAGAATTTTTGCAAAACATGCTTCTCCACCCCAGAGGACAAGTGTGGGGATGGTGGAGGAAGAGTGCCTGACAATGAGGTCTGTGCACCTCCACTGGGGTCCACTGTCTCCAAGTGTGTCTGGGAAGGATCCCAGCCAAGTGGGATCTGCTCAGGGGTGGCAAGGATGGGACTTGGGTAGGCAGAGAGAGTGAAGGGTGCGCCAGGCAAAAGTGGGGATCTAGTTCTGCTATTAACTAGCTAGGCGGGTGAGTTAGTTTGTAAACTAGCTGTAAAATGGGAATGATACTAGTACCGGCTAATAGTGTTATGGTGAAGATCAAATGAGGAAATCATTATAAAGCTCTTAACCTAGGGCCTCGTGTATTGTAAGCACACAACCAATGTTAGCTATCATTATCATCTCTTACTTTCTCGTAGTACTCTGTGGGTGCTTCCATTTCACCTCAAATCATTGTCTTGCATATGTCTTCTCCCACTTTATGCAGTGAGACTTTGATGGGCAGGAATCATCTTTGCTGGATACATAAATTCCATGTGGGCTTACCCAGTAATAGCAGATGCTGAAAATTCAGTCAATACTTGTGAA